ATCTCGGGGAGCCTCAATCTTAGCTGGATGGATCTCGATTACTCTAGCTAAGTCCTCTCGAGGAGCCTCCATCTTAGCCGGACGGATCTCGATTCCATATACTTTATCAGTTGATCCTGAACAAATTTGGATCACGCTCCCTTCATATTATGATCATGACCCTTTGAATCACGGTGTAAGGATCTTGATCCTTATCCCACGGATCATCATGCATCTCTTGATACCGCAGTTCAGATCTTGATCTAGAATCTGACCTTGATTCTGATCCCAGTAACCATGAACAAAACTAAATCAAACAAAATGCACACAGTGAGAGTTGCGTAGGATCACCTCCTAAGACTTAATACACCTCACACAGGATCTATCATTGATGATGGACACACCACAACAGATCTCCTATCATGGATGGTGCGCCATGACTTTGGCAAAAGTTTTTTTTATTGAACTCCAAATTGAGGAACCTCCAAGCATCTCAAGAACCTCGTGTGATGTACCTCTTAGAGTTTCTCCTATTCTCTAGGGTTTCTCTCAGTCTTCTATTGTTTCTCATACTTGTGCAGCCCTTGAAGATCTTTTTCTTGTCTTGTGCACCTTTAGAGATCCTCTGATCCTATTCCCACTTGCAGCAGTCCATGAGAATCCTCTTTCTCTGGTCTTTAGCCCATAAGAACGGCTTTCTGTTCTAGGCACACACAATAACCTGTAGAGAACCTATTTGTTTTTGCATACCTGGTGCAACATACAGGGAATATCTTTCTCTGCATGAACATGCAGCAGTTGTAGAGAGTCCTCTCTCTTTTTCATACTTGGATGGCCCTTTGAGAAAGCCACCTTGTCTTCTTTTTGATGTGAATAATGTGGAGACCATCTTTCACAGTAATGGATGCCTTGGGATAGTCCTTCTTTGCCTCATGCAAGCCCATGAAGAACTTCTTCTTCTCTTCCATGCTGATGCCCTCTCTTTCTCAGTCTCCATCACAATTATTATTGTAATGAAAAATCTTTTCTTCATCCTTTGGTGCCTTGAGATTTCCCCTTCAACTTGCTTTCCCTAGCGACTATCTCGTCTGTGACTGTTAGCTCTCAAAGAAACTTCTTCTCTTGCATGTGCCAAATTTGGAGATCTTTTTGTCTTTCTTCTCTTGGCATAAAACTATTCGCAATATGATACCTTGTATTTCTATTGTAATGTGGCATAGTTGTAATATTAAATCTCCATGTATTGTATTCACTGGAATATCTTATGTACATCAAGGTTATAAAAGTTAATTGTTCTTAATCTTCATGTATACATACATACATACATACATACATACATACATACATATAATGGGTCAACACATGAGTGTGGTTGAACAATTATGGGTCATTTGGGACCTGGTATTTGCAAAACTTGGTTATGCATCAAATCTTGGGTATAAAGATTCTAGTATTTGTAAGACATGGTTCTAAATGTAAAACTAGGTTTTGACATCTTGCTTATTAACCAGTTTAGCTATTCATTTGATAATTTGATGATTACATAATAGTATTTCTCCAATTAAAATGATTTGTTGGAAATGATTCGTTGGAAATAAGCTATCTATAATATGAGAAACAAATTAGACGATTTAGATCTTATTTTGTAGGGCCCAATTTTGATTTCTGTCCCCACCCCCCTCCTCTCTCTCTATCGAATAAAATTATGTTTTAAATATGCAATTATTAAGTAATAATATTAAAGTATAAGTATTAATATTATTATTACTATTACGATTATTATAGTATAATATTATTATATTATAATAACACATTATAATATAATAACACTAATATCAATGATGTTGATAATATTTCATAAAAATGATGATGATAGTGATAATGATAATAATAATAACAATAGTAATAATAATACTAATACTAATAATACATATAATAATATCAATACTAATATCACAATTATAATAATTGTATAATAATGTAATATCATTTTATTAGTGTTAATATAATATTTATAAATATTATAATAAAAATACACAATATTTTAGGATTAAATATAATACAATATTAGTATATTAAGATGGTAACGTAATGTTATACTACCATATTATAATATATTAATACTTATATTAATGATATTGATGATGTTCCATATCAACATCAAGAAAGGATATTATTCGGAATGTATACATCTTAGGGAACTTGGGGGTAGTTCCAATAGGCGATACGATGAGGGGCAAGTAGACTTAGGTGGTTTGGCCATGTGCAGCGTCAATCTAGAACAACATCAGTTACGAGGAGCGATTTGATTCAAGTGGAAAGGGTCTGAAAGGGCAAGGGGAAGGCCTAAAAAGATATCGAGGAAAGTAATGAGAAGGGATACGACTTATAGTCTGAGGGCATTACTCTAGCTAGTGTGGAATGACAAACCAAGATTCGTGTAGCGGACCCAGATAGTTGGGATAAGTCTCAGATGATGATGATGATGATATTTCATTATAAATATTTAAAAATAATAATAATAAATATTGGATATGGATATTATAACTACAGATAATATCATTATTATGAGGATTGAGAAAGGAAAAGGGAAAGACGCATATGCGCTAATACAAAAGCTAGTTTTCCCAAGAGCTTGCATTTGCTCATTCCATGTTTCACATTAGAATGAGCATATGCAGGATTTGGCTTTATGAGGTTACACATAACCTGGATCTGGGTGCTGAATATGCATCAAAATATCTTACTGTGTTTGTATCTTGGATAAGAAAAAGTAAATTTTGCATGCAATAGGACCTAAACGATCCCCCATTAGACTGTCCATCACAACATCTCACTTTATTGTCTTTATCATTTTGGTAACATTTTCACATGCTATTGAAAGAGAGGATTTAGATCTCACGGTTGACCCATTCCTACTCCTAGAAAGCACTTTGCAAATCCCATTGCTTCATCCTTTTTCTCTCCTCTCCATTGTTCTCTCCCTCATCCTTTGCCCATAAATATTTCTTATCCACACCTTTCTGTCGTTAGACCTTAACTCTCTAAAACATTTAGGGCTCCTAAAATCGAAACCCCTATGCTAAATCTAAGCCTCTTTACCTTTTAGTCCCATAAATCATCTCCATATATGCGTTCCTGGGGAACATAATTGCTCAAAACCCTAGAAATGTCCTTCTCCCTTGCGATTGCTTTAACCATTATTTCCAGAAAAAGGGGGTCCTCCTTTCATTCATCTTCATTATCCATCCTCATACCCAAAAAAATGAGAGAGGTCCCCAAATGTTGGGTATTTGTCCCTATGGTTGTGAGCACCGTCTATACAATTCATATGTTAGGTATTTAGATCCCCAAATGTTAGGGATTGTGGTCCCAACCTTTTGGAATCTTGCTTCAAACTTTGAAGAGTATGTATAGTCTTAGGACTATATATACTCGTTTAAGTAGAGATCTTTTTATTTATAGCCACTAAGCGATGCAATTATATTTAAAGTAATGACAGAAGGAACTTGAATGGCAAGTTTAGTAGTTGACACAATAGTTTGTGAGCCTCAATAATGTACAAGACGATGATCTTTTAGCCCAAGAGGATCTCGAGTACAAGCTTTTTCACTTTTGTGCTCCTCATGGAGAGTTGAGTGATGTGGACAATGACAAAAGACCTAGACGTGGGGAGTATCACTCTAGGGTTTTTGATTTGAAGGATAAGATTCTTGATTTTGACACAGATTGCATCGAAAATCAGCAAGTTGTATATCGGCATTTACCACCAATCTTCGATACATACTCTGATAAACAACAGGATCATTTAGGGGATCCGATCTATGATAAGGATCGAGATGATGATAAAGAGATTTTGGACAAAAGTGAGGAATATGGAGAGAAGGTAGCAGGATGACTGCTCCAAATCATCGCCTTTGAAGATCTCATTAATATTGAAGAGGTAGAGAGCATTCAAAAAATTTAAGGTATTGGAATTAGAGTAACACATATGAGATATGGTCAACTCATAAAGAGCAAATTATGGCCCTGATTTAGAAAGTAATGATGCTATAAAAACCTCTAAATACCTGAAAATTAGGTTTGAAGTTTCTACATGATTTTCAACAGGAGCTCAAGGATAGCCGTATGTGATAAATTTGAACTGATTCCTCAATATGTATATCATGACTAGTTTCCTGAGGAAATTTTTTTATCATGAATAATCTGAGCCAACAAAAAATAAAGAAGGTTGAAGAAGGTGGTTTTGATGTTGAATTCATCTTAGCATACACTTTAAAACTCAATGACGAGTTTTCTCTATCCAAAAGAGAATGATGGAGGGCAAAATTATTCTTTTTATTTTTAATTTTTATTCAATTTCAGAGAATGTAGATTGTAGTTTTAGGATTTATTTTTTAGGGTTTTTTAGTTTTTTAGGGATTCTAGGTTTTTATATTTTTTGGACATTGTTTATACTAGGAATTTCAAATGATAATTATAAAGAGGTGTGTGGGGGCCTAAAAGAAGGCAGTTATGTGATTTTCTAGAATTGAGAAAAAATAAAAGCTCTAGCTTTTGCAACCCTAGCTTGGGTGTGGAATTGTGCTTGTGTTTGACTTTATTTCTTACTGATTTTACTGTTTTATTAAATTTTTCTGCATCATTGTCATGGCTGTTACAACCCATTATGTATGACTATTGCATGGCTATTATAGCCCATTATGCAAGACTGTTGCATGACTATTATAACCTATTATGTATGCCTGTTATTATCACTAGAATGTGAAAAGTGTAGGGAGCAGAGAAAATGCACGTTCTCATCTAGACATTCATTTTTGGGTCTATGTTTCTGACATTCATATCAAAGTCGGATGCTTTCAGTGTAGGATGAGTCATTATCTGACCTTCAAGTAAAATAAACTATAGTAATTTCATTAAATGGTATAAATGTGCCCCAAGTCCAACTCTTACACACTCATGGAGGCATTCTCAATTGCCACTTACTGAAATAGAAACACTCTCTCTTCTGGTGATTTCAGGGTCATCTGTGGTGCAAAGATATCAGTATGACGAATCCTCTTTCTTCTTTTGGTGATCTTGACTGTTTGACTCACTTTCCCACTTGCAGTTGAATGAGGGGTGGCCGCATAACAGATAGTATCAGACTTAGAGCATAAATGTTGAGAATGTGCATGAATTTTCATAAAGTCATAGATAGCCCTGAAATGGTTTAATTCACAGTACATTTTTAGGTATAATGACTGAAATATTCTTATGATTATATAATAAGACAATGTGTCCTCGGACAATTAAAATAAGAAAACATTAGAGGCAACATAGGTACGGAAAATTACAAATACATGATTACCGTTCAAACTGATGTGAATGTCTGTTAAGAATAGGTTTGTCCTCTGTAACATGATGTCCCTATTGGGCAATAGCTTTAGTAAAAATGTTAGCTGTCTGCTTTGCAGATGAAACATCCTGAGATGGGGAGTATCATCCCCATAATTATTATAAATCTAATACAAGTTACATTAAGGTTCATATGCATATGCCCAATAATCATCTGGATGTACATAGCATCCAAGATAGAAGTAGTACTGGATAAAAGCACCCAATCGAGAGTTTGATGAACAATTAGTGTAGAAAGCAATGAATGGCTAAAATATAAGGTCATTGGGGGCTTTCCAATACCAGCTTTTGGATTTGAGAAATCACAAGATATCCATATCCTAATGTGGTGAAATTGGACCCTTGAATGTCGACCGGGCTAGGATTCAGGCTCTTGCTGAAGGTTCACTGTAGATAATTCCTAACATGGCATCCTCTGGGATACGGCAAGCTTGACTACACATTTCATAATTTTGCATATGTTAATTTTTATCTCCATTTATGGGACAATTGTAAGATGCATTGTTTTCAAGACATGGTTTCTTACATTACATGACTATCAATGATCCTGCCTTTGCAGCTATGGATCATGGTACTCCATGCTATGACTATGGCCATTTGCAGTATGGAAGCTTGCAATTTCATTTGAGACGATCTCATTCTAAAAAATGATTTGGAATATTTTTTAATATTTTAGAGGAAAAATGATTAAGAATATTTTTCTATTCCTTTATTTTTTTTGGGGTAGGTCGGCATATCATCATCATCATCATTTGACAATTTCACAAATTTCGTTATGTGCAGTGACTTTTGGATGAACAAATTGCTCGGATCTGACTTTTTGTCATTGTACTCTTGCATTGTGCATATATTTTGCAACTTTTTTTTCTTGCTCTTTAGGGGTTTTCATGTATTTCTAGATATCTTCGCCAGCCATGTTTTGCTATTTATATCTTGGTTCATGTAACATCGTATAATGTCTGGTCAACTGAAGACTTGAGAAAGTGCTCCATTGCAGCTCCTGACCATGACATTGACCCCTCTCTTATGTATCCTCCACATTCTTGTATCAACTGTTTGCTTTGCTTCTTTGAAGATATGGATGGTATCTAGTTCGTCCTTGTCACAAGATTAGAATAGTTATGAAGGGGCATAAACATTGGAAGGCCCTGGTGCTTGACTGTTAACTCTATTGAACTCCAGGAGTTAACAGGATGGATGTGGGCATTTAAGAATTAAAATGATTTTGGTCGGTTTGTCATTTGACTTACTGTTGTAAACTTGTTCTGGATTAATACAATGGTTTGTTAGTTTATCATTGGATCTCTTCTCTTCTTTTCTTTAAAATATTGAATTGGCACTCTATCCTGGCTTTATAACTATGAAGACGGTGATGTTATTAAAGCTCTCTCTCTCTCTCTC